TTAGACTAGAACAAGATCACGAAGAAACATTATAGGAAGCGTTGATTACATACAACAACGCTATTCACTCTGCAACTAATTTTACACATTACGAACTTTTTCATGGACGAAGTTATAAATTTGACAGGGATGTTCAATTCAATAACAAACATGACTACTTACGTAAACTTAATGAGTTTCAGGAAACACTTTACCCTTATATTAAAGAAAAACTGGAAAGAAAAACACATAATCGACTTGAAAAACTAAATACAGACAGACATGAACCCGAAAATTTTGAAATCGACGAAGACATTTACAGAAAAGAATGCAGGAGAAATAACATGACACCAAGATTTTCAAAACACAAAATTCAAAATAACAATAGAGTAACAATAATTACAACAAGAAATCAAAAAATACATAAATCTAGATTAAAAGCTAAAAAGAAAACGTAATTATATTTCCATTAGTACTGACCCAACTTATAGAAATACTACCTATCAAACCGGACCAAGCGATAGTGCAGGTAAATCTCGGACAAGCAAGAAAAATCGAATCATATTTACCACATTTATCACAATTCATAAGAAGAAAGCATCCTACACGAAATGCAATATTTGGAAGAAATAAATTACAATATCGACTTGTTTAGCGACCATTTAACTAACCTAGCCGAAGTTAAATATCATTTCTAAATTGATTCTTGACCAAAATAAAATGAAATTCATTTACGATTTATTTACACAGCAGTCTATTGAGATTATCTCAGACGAACATGCCTATGAACTTCTTGGGCTTCAAGCTTATTACAATCATAGCAGTATAATATTCAACGTTAGAATACCTGTCCTTTCGGAAATGACATACCAATTCAGTCACATTATTCCTTTACCAATTAACTTTACCAAAATAATCGTAACACAACCATACATAGCCCAAAAACAAAAGCCTGTCCCAAGATTGAAAGCACCTTTATTGTCGCTCCCCGCTGTATAAAGAAGACGCGAACAACTCATCTTGTGTTGGAAACCTGCTGAACCACAAACCCCGCAAATGCATATTTAACGATGCCGTACCAGTGGAGTCAATAATACCACTTGCAGAGAACTATATACTTTTTATTAATATTAAACATGCACTAATAAAATCTACTTGTAGTAAAAACTCCCATGAAGTAAAAGGAACCGCACTCCTGCGATACAAGTCCTGCGAAGTCGTCATCAATGGAACTCCTTACTCGGACAACCATAGTATGTTCTGGGAACACACCCACATAGCACCACCAACATACTCCCAAATTGAAGAAGAGGCGACAATAGAAACTTTAAACTTGAAGAAGCTGGAATAATTTTATGTCGAAAATAAGGAAGCTGTCCTAACTCTGGAAAACGAAACGGTAGACACTATGAAATTTACCCACTTGGCCCTATTAATCCTAGCAGTCACGATGATCATTCTATTCTTCTCAAGGAGAACAACACAAGCAACACCGAACGTCGTCGTTCCGGCCATACCAACCTCCAGTTCTTTATGGCCGTCACTCTAAGGGGGGAGGAGTTACGTTGGCCACCAACCCCACAGGCTGACGCAACATGCTGATACAACATATATTGTCCACACGCGTTTCACTCAGACATGCTGACACAACACACTTATACACAACAATTACCTATCATACGCTGATACAACATAATTGACACACGCCACACCAACACTATATCATATTACACAAATCAATAACGTAATTAAAATAACTGTTTGTCTTTTGCATAAAAACATATTTTGTAAATTTTAAGCATTCTGACAATAAACCGAAAAGAGGACAGAAGTCCCAACAAATCAATTTTTTTATTTGAAACAATGGAAACAAACTCGTAACTCGCGCAATATGACCTGCTTTATCGCAGTTGTAGCATCTAACCCTGGGCTTAGCCATCCCTACCAACTTTGTTTCTTCTATTACCCGCCTCATGGCGTCCTCGATCGAGTTAACGAGAAATTTGGGTTCGCAACCTTCGGTCTCGAGTTGGCGAATCTTCTGGGTCTGGGGCTTAACAATTATTCTTGTCGTCTCTTGGGCAAGGGCAAACGACACTGTTTCGGCAAATGACGCTTTTGGTGACGCATATGTTGCACACTTAATCTCAGGGTCACGTATGCCATTCACAAAGGTTTCGATTTTCATACGGTCCAGCAATGGGTGATTCTCTCCTGGATACGTCATTAGCACCAAACGTTCCACCTCAGCTGCTAAGTCTTGTAACGTCTCGTTTGCCCTCTGTACTCTTCCCCTTAATGCCATAAGGTAGATGTTTTGTTTATGTTCGCCACCGTACTTACGTTCCAGTGCAGCAATAACATCTTCATAGTTGTTTCTAGAAGCGACAGGAATACTCTGCATAAAATCAGCAGCACTGCCCTTCAATGCCAGAAGTAGTGCAACCGCTTTGTCGCTGTCGTTCCACGAATTTCTAGAAGCCACTGTATCGATGTTCATACCACGGCGCTCGAACTAATCCAACAGACGTTTTTGTAGCTCAGCCTTGTTGCCAGTAGACGATAATTCCAATTTATTGAGCTCCTTCTTCACGTCTTCAACTCGTAGATCCTTAAACTTCATCATAGTATTATCGTAATCTCACTTCCGACACCAATTGTTAAGTTCTTGGATTTTATTTAATCCCGTGTAGACGTTGTTTTATTTCCCAATACAGTTCGTACTAAATAAAACGCGGGTTCTTTCTGATTTCGAATATTACAATGATTTTATTGGCACAACTTTACTTTGCACTTTACTTTACTTTACTCAATTCGCGATCTGATTCACAACTGACTAACTGCCTTGCCATTTCCCCTATTTATATGAGCCTTGCCTGTCGCTACAGAAGTTTCTAGACGATCTGGTAACACCTAGATTACGAACAATCTACCAATGCAACAAACACATACAAACTTACATTGAGTGAACAATAACAACAACACATATACAGGCGAGGGAGTAACAAGGAAAGAGGAATTAAGGTAAGTTGTAATGGCGCAGAAAGAATTCTGTGAAAGTTTTTTTTCGTTAAGCAAATGTTTTGCATTCCAATAATCATTTCAAACATAACTAATGTAATTTCTTTCATGTATATTTATTACAAAAAAGTTATTATATATTTCCGTAAAATGCCACGGGTGGGGCACCTTTGAACATGCCCATTAAATTCGAGTAAAAAGCGGAGTTTTTAACTTTTGGCTTCGATTTTTCAAAATTTCAAATGGGATAATAAGACTAAGAAATTAACTGCATTTTTCACCATATTAGTCTTTGTTTTTATGTCATTTTATATTTTAATAAATTTTGATCTGAATTTTTTAATTTTCAAAAAATTTTTGTATTGTAGCGGAACATTAGTTTTAAGTATAATTTGTATTTGAATATATTCATTGTAACGCATATTTAACGTAACTTAACTATTATCAGATGTTTTCATGTTTGCGATACCTAAATGAATAACTACATAATGATCTCAACGAACCGACAATTCTTCGTTGTGTTGTGCTTTCATAATATTCGTTCAGTTTTGTGTTGGAAAAGCTCTCTGTTGAGAGTATAAAAGAAGCAACATCAGCGAGAATTGTTCATGCTTGGTTATCCAGAATTATTACTGAATAAAGAGCACCTTTGTAACGTTTTAAAATAATTAAGGTGTTATCATTTCGGAAGGAAAATAGATTCCCTTAATTTGGCGCCCAACAACCACAATACTACGGCTATAAAGTGACTCCAACTGCGTAGCCGTAACCAAATTGTTATAAACTAGCGCCCAACTGAGTGGTTCGAATAACGACCTGGTGTATTTTTTGCAGTTTTTGGAAGTTCTCGGAATTGATGTACTGACTCTAGTGAACAATCCGTCTCCCTATTAGTTTGGAAGTAACCAAAACAACGGTTTTGATTGCTGATTTTTTGTTCTCTTTTCTGTTTTTGGCGAAAACGTGGCTGAAGGTATTAAGGACGAGTTACTACGTCGAAGTCAAGGTATTGCTGCAAAAACAAATATGGTGTCTCTTACGACGGAACAATTTAAGGAACTGCTAGGTGCTGTTAATAAACAAAGCGAGAAATGTGGCTCTTTCAGTGGCTGCAGCTCGAGGTACAATGGAGAGCGGAATCCGATAAAAGTGGAATTCATCTCTAGTATTTTAACGTACGAAACGGTTGAATCAATATCTGATGCAAATGCGGTAAATGGCATGCCGATGTTGCTGGAATGTGATGCTGCGGAATGGTGGCGTGGATTCAAGTCGAAGGCCACAACTTTTGCCGATGTTGTAAAGATGATTCGTGACGCTTTCTCACCCCATAAGACAGCTTGGCGCATGTAATGAAACCAAACAACAGAGAACTGAGCCTACAGACACTTTTATTCGTAAGAAGAGAGCTCTTTTTGCCCAGTTGGAATCAATACCGAACGAGGCTGATCAAATTGATATGGTGTTTGGAATGTTGCACGCTCAGATCAGCGAGAGAGTTTTCCGGCATAAAATTAAAAGTTTTGAAGAGTTGCTAGCTGATGCAAGAGAAGCAGAACAGGTAATACGTGAACGCGAGGTGAACTCTGGCTCTAACGAAAGTGGTCCCCAAGGTGGTACGAAGCGTTGTTTACATTGTCGCAAAAAGGGGCACACGGAGCAAAAGCTAAAGCTGAGGCAGAGGCAGCATTGGTCAAATCAAAGCTCGCTTGCTATGGATGCAATGCTCCTGGTTATGTTCGCTGTAATTGCCCTAATTGCAGCAAGAAATCTTAGTATTCGATTCGCCAATGACGGTTGGATTTAATTCCCTTGGTATGTGTGTTGGTCGAGACATCCCTATAGTAAATGTCGCTCTTTTTGGTATACCTGGTCAGGCTTATTTTGACACTGGTGCAAAAACAAACGTCGCAGGTTCCAATTTAAAGCGCCTAATGAAATTTAAAGTCTGCATTGAAACGATAGATTGTCAAACAGTTCTTGCCGATGGTACGACAAATATGCGAAAGTTCCTAACGACAACATGTAAAATTGGCATAGGTGGCAGAAGCCTGGATATAAAGTTTTTGATATTTCCAGATGACAAGAATAATCGCACTTTACTAGGCACAGATTTTCTAGAGCATGCACAAATTGTTTTAAATATGGGACAAAGATATTGGCACTTCGAAGGTAATCCAATCCAAGTTTTTGATTTTGCAGAGGAATGGCCATTGGAATTGCATATGGTTGAAACTATAAAAGTGGTAGAGACACATCCCAAGCGTAAGGCGACGGAAGTTGCAGCTGACCATGTTGAGCCAAATTTTATCACCCCCAAGAGCACTTGCCAACACTTCGTCTATGAGTTTGAATCGTATAGTCCAGATTATCATCAAAATGATTACTCTCCTCATTCTATCCAGTCAATTTTTAGAGATGCTATACCACCAGATATGGTCACACCCGAAAGAGCAAAACAAAGTGAATTGTTCCCAAGTACAACAAAAAAGAACCAAGAGGATGGTTCTGCTCGAGTTTGTGTGGATTATAGGAAACTTAACGCCATCACTTTACCTGATAGATATCCACTGCCTCGCATGGATGATTTGTTACACGCCGCACAAAGCACCAAGTATATGACGACTTTGTATTTGCAGAGTGGCTATTACCAAGTTGAAGTGGCACTGGAATAACGTGATAAGACTTGTCTAATAACACCCTTTGGAACATTTCGGTTCAAGCGAATGCCATTTGGTTTAAGAAATGCACCCGCAATCTTCCAGCGGTTGATTAATCGATTTAAAGTTGGACTTCCGAATATATGCATCATAGCTTATTTGGATGATATCATCATCTGCTCTGAATGCAAGCAACACTTGTATGACCTTCAACTGGTCTTGGAAAGACTGATTTTATTTAATCTTCGACTGAATAACCAGAAATGTAAATTTTGCTGATCAAGTGCAAAGTACCTTGGGCATATTTTAACGCCTGACGGGATAGGTGTCGATCCCGGAAAAATACAGGCGATTGTTGAGCGTAAATAACCCAGGAATTTCAAAGACTTAATATCCTTCATTCAAACGTGTTCCTGATATAGACGTTTCATTAACGGATACGCTGAGATTGCGAGACCGTTAACCAATTTAACCAAGAAAGCGGCTGCATGGAGGTGGGGAGAAATGGAGCAGCGTGCTTTTGATTCATTAAAGATGGCCTTGACTACCCCACCTATTTTAAAACAAGCGATAGACAATATGTCATTTGCTATTCATACAGGAGAGTCAACAGGAACATCCGATAGAATATGGTAGCCGACTATTAAATAGTGCCGAGCGTAATTACTCTACCACTGAAAGGGAGGCCTTAGCCATAGTTTGAGCTTGTAATAAATTTCGAGGATACATTGAAGGCGGAGAAGTAAGGCTCCTGACGGATCACCAACCATTGAACTGGCTTTTAAGCATTAAATCGCCAACGGGACGACTTTTCCATTGAATATCTCCCAGGGAAAAGAAATGCTCTTGCTGACATGTTGTCCAGACCACCATGTACAGAAGATGATCATAACGAAAATTGTATTTGTGCTTTGGGATATTCACAATCCCAAATAAAAGTGCGACACAGATTAGGGAAGAACAAATGAAAGATGTGTACCTAAAGGATATTATAACATCTCTGGAGAATAACTATGAAAATTCCCTAAAGTGGATGAATTGATGTTATATTCTTAATGATGGAATACTTTATTGCTATGGGAACGATGATTGTGATGATGCCCAATTGGTTATACCGGAACATTAACGGTCGGAAATTTTGAAGAATTATCACGATGACAGCACTGCAGGTCATTATGGAACAGATAGAACGATTGCTCCTATTGCTAGTAGATATTTTTGGCCTGGGAAGAGAATCGAAATAGCTAAATATGTAAAAAGCTGTATTCATTACCAACGTTTTAAAGCAACGAACTTAAAACCTGCTGGACTTCTGCAAACGACAAGCAACAAGCAGCGATTTGATGTGGTAGCAGTAGACTTGTTTGGCCCGCTTCCTCAAACTGAAAATGGATACAAGTAGATTTTAATTGTTGAAGACGTTGCCAGCCGATGGACGGAACTATTCTAAATAAAGGAAGCTACAGCAGAAGCATGTGCGAAAATCCGTATAGAAGAAGTATTTCTGCCTTTTGGAATGCCTCGACGTGTTAAATCAGACAATGGTGTGCAGTCTCAGCTATAATGCAGAAAATAACATACTGTCTAGGAATTCAACAACAGTTCACTCCCGTTTAAAAATCGAGATCTAAAATGCCAGTTAGCAATAATTGTTCAAGAGCACCATGATGGGTGGCACCAGTGCTTGCCAGCCATTCGTTTTGCCATAAATTCATCGAAATGCCAAAGCACCGGTTACACACCATCCTTTTTATAGCCTTCACCACACTGTGGTACAGGGTATTATGTCTTTGTGCATATGTTTGTAGCAGGCAAAAGGAAACGAGATAGACACATGGTTCCTTTTGAGAATATGCATAGAATCACTTTCTAAGTCGATTTATGCATGTCCGTCGTCTGTCTGTCCATGTTAAATTGTAAACAAAGTACAGGTCGCATTTATGATCCGAATTGGATGAAATTTGGTATAGGTCACTTATTCGGCCCAAGGACGAACCCTATTCAAATTGGGAAAAATCGGTTCAGATTTAGATATAGCTCCCATATATATATTTAACCGATTTAACGGCAAATGTCCCTATATATCTTTCGTTTTGCACGAAATTTGGTACAGCCTAATCATTTAGGTCTAGCATGATGTCTGCCAAGTTTCGTGAAAATCGGTGCAGATTTAGATATAGCTCCCATATATAGTTTCGTTCGATTTCATATAATTGGTGCACCAAAGTCGCTATATACCGTTCGATTTGCACGAAATTTGGCATAACGTAATCAATTGAGCCTAGAATGATGTCTGCAAAGATTCATGAAAATCAGTCCTGATTTAGATATAGCTCCCATATATAGTTTCGTCCGATTTCATATAAATGGTGCACCAAAGTCCCTATATATCCTTCGATGTGCACGAAATTTGGCATAACGTACTGAATTGAGCCTAGAGTTATGTCTGCCAAGTTTCGAGAAAATTGGTCCAGATTTCTATATAGCTCCCACATATAGTATCGTCCGATTTCATGTAAATGGTGCACCATAGTCGATATATGGGCAATATTGCCAATTTTTTAACATAGCTGAAGCTGAGGTTCACCCCTTTAAAACTCGGGAATTACTTAAGTATATGAAAAAGTGAATTGTTTTGGGTTAATTGATCTGTCGTTGCAAACTGTTCATGATATTGACCTCCAAACTTTATTTTGGTGGAAGCTGTGTCTACTTTAATGTAAAAAAATGTGTAAAAACACGTTGAGGCGAACCAGTTTTTTCATGTTCTCTATCGATTTGTGACTAAGCCACTCATTGCACGGTCTTCGTGTCAAAATAAAACTAGAAGCCAACAAAATGGGGACTACGCCCCTTATGTATCATTTTTCAAAATTTTCACTGCATCTACCTTTAAATGATGCTGACATTTTGAAGCTCGATTTTGACTGTTTTTTTAATTTTACTTCTAGCTTTAATACGCAATCAGGAATTTATAAAAATTGATTATAAGATTATTGTAGTCGCGAATCTGCGTCATTTGATATGTATTTTGTGTATGTAGTATGCACAGCTTCAGAGTAATACTCATCCGAAGGTGCGAATTTTGTGCGATCAAATTTTTAAAAAACCTATTTTTCGGGCCAAATTTTTAGATCTGCCAACTGAATGATATGGGTACCCGCGATCAATAAGGTTTTTTACGTTTCGGATGATATAAAATCTTCTTCGTGAAAATCCATCTACTAGAACGGCGGGAACTGGCCTTCCAAAAACACGAAATTTGGCAAAAAATGTTTTTGAAAATAACGCGGATTTATTTGCGTTTTCTGTGTATCATTTCCGCTTCAATAAATGACCTCATACGGATTTTGATCCTTTTCGAAAAGAGAACTTTAAAAACTTCAGCCGAAAGAGAGATGTACGCAATTTATCTCAAAAATAGTGTGAGCTGGCACATCCATGGTTCTTAATGGACCACATTCAAATATGTATAGATCGATGTATTTTTAGGGTGCACACCGAAATCGGATGCGCGTTAATGGCATATGGAGTTTTCGGAAATTATTCGCGTTTTAAGATTTTGTGGGTACTTCAATGTAATGTGCGGCACATCTTAGCCGTCAAATGAAATTTCGCAAAATATATATGGATTGGAAGATAAACTTCAGTACTTACTGGAAACCGCATGCGCATCAAATGATTTTGAGAATTACGCGATTTACACGCAATTTAAAATGTATATTTCATAATATCATTTTATTTTAAAATTTATTCCTATTTATAGAATTCTAAGATTTATCGGAAGGGTCTTGATATAATTCGCAAGGCGTATACTTATACACAAAAAGTTATTATTATTATATATGTCAATTTTTTCGGCGAAATTCGGGTAAAATAGCAGAATAACTCCAACATTTTTTTCTGAAATTTCTTTTATACAATTAAAAAATAAATATGATGACATTATTTTTTCGAACCAAAAACAAATATTTTTCCTCAATATCTTTTTTCGTTGTCGCTGTGATTTAGAAACCGCTACACGGACTTGTGTGATTTTGATATCATTTGATTCACCATGGTGTTTAGATTATGTAGATATTTTTTAATTAATTTTTAGTTGTGTGTATGTCATTAAAATAATGAAAACATTGATGTAATCTGCTATATTTTTTTTATTTTTCTCATATTTCGCGAATATGTGCAACTTTATCGTGATTATTATAATATATTCATATTCTTATTTTACGGAGGGTGATATATATCAACGTTTTTGGTCAATATAATAAACGGCGTAATTTTAAGATTTTTTTCTTATGCTCAAAATTAAAACCTCGATAACTTTTGCGCGCATCAACGAAAAATTTGATCGCGAACGGTTTCGGAGTCAGAACATTTTTCTCTATATGTGTACCAAAAATCATTGATGTGCCACAAAAACAAAAAAGCTGATTTTTTGAAAATGGAATATTAAAAAATTGGCAATATTGCCCATATATATTTCGATTTGCACGAAATTTGGCATAACGAACTGAATTGAGCCTAGAGTAATGTCTGCCTTGTTTCGTGAAAATCGATCCAGATTTAGATATAGCTCCCTTTTATTATAGATTGATTTTAAGTAATTGACGCATCAAGGAACCAATAGGAACAAAACGTGATAAAACTGCAAAACACGCGCGACAGGCTGTACAGTTACAAGTAGAGAGATGCCGATTTGAGGTCACCAAACAAAGAATAGGATTTGTTGGACCAACGGAATGTAACAAATTGCCTGTTTATATACAGTTTGACATATCCTCTACACTGTTAAATAAAGTAAATTATTATATAAGTGATATGTAATGTATAGTTGTCAGGTTTTGTCCCTATAATGCCTGAAGGCGCTGGGGCTTTATATTACAATGAATAAAGCAACAATGAATAAATCAACATGTGACAAGTTTGTTTGAAATCGCTTAATATTTGGATAGAGCTTCCATATATATATATTCGCCCGATTTCAAGTAAATTGGGCATCAAACTCCTCATGTTAG